AATGAGAGACAACAAATGGACAAAGCGGATTATAAGTAGTGCCCACACAATCTGAAAAGAATGTAGAGAAAGACGTTCGTGCGATGGAAGGGTACGTTCGAATGGCATTTTGAAACGACGTGAATGGGAGCTGTGTAAAGTAAAGAAGAATGGAGAAATTGCCAGCTGCATCAGTGGCTTCAAAGAAGTTCCCACTTCTCCGCAACGTGTCCAGACAATTGTAAAATTTCCCACGCACAAAATTTACTTATTGTGCCAATATCAAGCATCATTTAGTCTCTATGAAGTAAAATAAGAATTTTCAGGATTCTTGCCCGTGAAAATTGCGTTATAGGGGTTCATTAAACGTTCAACGAAGTATAACTGTTGCCTTACAAACGATGTCATGGAATTGTGCCTAAAAGCTGAGAGAATTGCTTGAAACTGTTCGGAAATGAAACTTGTACTCAGCTTTTTTGCTCTCTAAAATATGTCAAATATGATGTACATCTTGAAGCACACTCTGGTCAGTGTAGTTTCATTGTCGCGTTTGCTTTTGTCATTGATACAACTGGTAATTTCTCTGTTCTCCTCTGTTTTGGACTTAAATGGATCGCAGCTACGTTACTAGGTCTGAAGTTTTTATTGTGCCAGTTGCGTGGGAGCACAATCGCGCGTTTCTGGTCGAAGCAGAGGGTGAGCTGTTTTCTGATCAATAGAATTGGACTGAGTGCTTCTGTGTCGAAGGAGTCTTACAATTTTCTACTAAAAAGACTAAAAACTATTTATTACGGACTGAAATCAAGAGTTCTTCAGTATTCACAATCTATGAAGAGTACCCAGGAATAGCTTGCAAATGCCAACAGCAACCACTCGCTGGAAAGCCCTCTGCAGGGAGTTCCCCCTTTCGAAAATTGCTTAGAAAAAAACTGTTGGCGGAGAAATTAAAAAATATGTCTTGGCGGAGCTGCCTCTTCTCTTGCAAGTACCAATTATTGTTTTTCTGCTGCAAGTTGTCAGTCCATCCCACCGCTATCGATTGTTTTTAGTACATTATAATTCCCTTCTATGCATTTCCGCGCTATTACTGATAAGGATGCTATAAAAGCATACATGTACAGCAAATAAAAAAAGCATACAATCAACCACTGCGTTCAGCAAAGTAGCCGGTAATTTTTTAGAAATTTGAAAAGTATTTGGATGATTTCGGCATGAGGAAAGATAATGTAATAATTTTTTATCTTTTTCGATTGTGCTCTAAAAATATTTGATATTACCTAATAAAATTTTTTTTCGGTTTCACAGAACTTCGTTCTTCCAATCGGCGCGGCACTTCATCGTGATCTACAAGTAGCATTGTCCTAGACGATATGATGATGTTCAACACACTTCAGTTACATTACAAAACAGTTAAAGTCACTGATCTGGTAATCCGCTCCTGAAGCAAAGCGGGGACCCAAAAACACCCTTTTTAGACCTGAAATATCTGTGTTTTTGGAACGTCAGAGTTGTAAACAGGTTGACCACTGGGCAGTGCAGCAGTTGTCAAAGCTGATA